CGCGGGCCTCTCACTGTTGTGGCCTCTCCCGTTGCGGAGCACAGGCTCCGGACGCGCAGACTCAGCGGCAATGGCTCACGCGCCCAGCCGCTCCGCGGCATGTAGGATCTTCTGGGACCGGGGCACGAAGCGGCGTCCCCTGCATCGGCAGGCGGACTCTCAACCACTGCGCCACCAGGGAAGCCCTGTTCTTAATTCTTAGCAAGCTTCTCTGGGGATTGAGTTTTCCCAAAACTAATTTTGACCTCTTTTCTTGGTTCATATCATTTAAAAATCGGATGAGTCAAGTCTGCAAAAGGAAGTAAAATGGAATTCCTTTGTTTACCCACACTCAGTGTGTGGGTAACTGAAATGTGAAGGTTAACTGTAGAAACAAAGATCTTTCCTTTGAGATGGAATCATGCTAATTATCTCATGGTGATAAAAATCAGATTAAAAATTTTTTTTGACCAATAGAAACTCAAGAAATAAATTATTACTTACTAAATGTAGTTTGGTATATAAAATCTTCCCACATAAAGGATTCATCAATAGAAAAGTTTTTAAGTTTGTGATTGCCCCTTTTGTTTCTTGTTTCTTATTTCAGAATATTTCAGGATTATATATGGTCAGCAATTTTTATTTCTGAGTCAGAATAGTGGATTTTGGTAAGGGGTGACATGCAACCCACAGAGACTAGGAAGCATGAGGAATAGGGGTAACTAAAGCTCTATGGAATGGGACTTGTTACTGGAATATGGTTATTGGACAGGAGCCACTGAAGTTCAGGAAAAGAAAATGGATTTTCTGTAATGGATAACACCTTGTGCCAGTTTGGCAAGTCCTGGTAATATGTTTGTGGTAGAATCTTAAGCTGGCTTTGTTTTCTACCCACCCTGTCGGTATACCTGTTTTTCCCCAAACAATTTTTCTGTTTTCCCTTAAGATGATGGTTTACCAGCCTCATCTAATTGCTGCTTTCTGAGACTCATCTGTTAGTCTTCACAGTATCCAATTTTGTAGTTTTCTTGGGCAATTTTATAGCTTTTCTTCAGGCTGTCATGTAAGGTTGTCTTAACAATTTATATAATTTCTTTATCATTTATATACAGTTACTCATATTTCTTTAGAATTTATATATTTTAGCTTTTCTAGTACATTATGGTTTTTAAAAATTTCACTTACCAGTGCCTTATGGTTTTTAAAGTAGTTTCTGTGTCATAACTTCATTTGATCCTTACAACAGTTTATCAGAGAATAAGAATGTTTTGTTCATATCTCATAGCTATTAAAAGGCAGAACTGGTAAACCAGATTTTAGATCTTCTGATTCATGCCTGGGCTGTTGCTCAGCTTAATGCATTCTGTTGCTCTTTGTTATAATTTACTTTTCACTTGTAAAGGTCTGAATTCTTCTTGGTAGTTTTCAAATATGATACTCTCTAATCTTCTGATGAGAGCAGTAGCACAAATATTGCTATGACTATTTTATAGACTCAGAATTGAAACTTAACTGACAGCCTCATCAGAAACAACTGAATTCCTGCCAGAGTTGAAATTAGAATCAAAAATGAGAATGTCCTGATTTTGGTCTGACCTTTTTTCCATTATGGAACAAAGGCCTTTTAGTTAAGGCATATTATCAGCTCTCATATCTTTAACTTATGAAGCAAAATGAAGAAGGTTAAAAAAGAAAAATAAAACTTAAATATAACTTCTCAGTTTTAAGTTTCTTTACATTATAAAATTAACATATATAATGTTTACCAATTTTTTTAAAAGTGCCTTAAGAGGTAATAGTTAAATGTTAAAGCTGCTTTAAGAATAGTTACAATATTATTAGTCTATTCAATATTATTCTTCAAAATTTGGAATCTGTTAGGCAATAACTTTTTCTTACCTCCTTAATAATTCACTTTATTTCAGGGGAGAGGGGCCAATAAAAACTTCCCAGGATTTAATTCATCAACTAGAGGTATGTTTTATTTCCATTTTTTGCTAATACTTTATTTTTATTACTATTATTATTAGTTTGGCTGTGCCATGCAGCTCGAGGGGTCTTATTAGTTCCCTGACCAGGAATCAAACCCAGGGCCCTGGCAGTGAGAGTGCTGAGTGCTAACCACTGGACCACCAGGGAGTTCCCCTATGCTGATACTTTAATTCTGGGCTAAAAGTTCGTGATAGCTAGTTTTCTTAATGATTTACTGCATCATGTTTGTATGTTTACCTACGTACACAGCACATGTATACTGTAGAGAGTGGTAGAAAAGTAGAGGACTGCAGTAGCATTTTGTGGAGCTGTTTTGGTTATCTTAGTGGAAAAAACCTTAAATATTATAGGGATAAAGTAGAATGGGCTTTGATAGTCACTAGATGCAATATTAAGTTTTAGGTTTTCCAAAGTAGGTGAAAATATCCTGTCAGCAGATGCATATCTTATACTGTCCTAAATGTGAGGAAAGCATTTTGGCTTCTTCATTATTGAATTGGATGAATGATATTGATTAAATAAGTTAACACATAAGAAAGCACTTGTCATAGGGTTGAGACCATTACAGGTTCTCAGTACATGTTAGTTTCCTTTTCTTCTTCCATATTCCTGGTGATTTAGGGCATTCAGGGAGAGACACATACTGACACTCACCCTTCTGCCCTATGTGTCTCATGAAACTCCACATAGGCCTAGCTCTAATTCTCCTCGCTTACCTGGAGGTTTAGATTGATAAGTGGATTACAGGAGGCCTTTCTTAATTCCCTGACGCTCATGTTAGTCTGTTTGCCTGTCTAGAACCAAGGGCATTCTTGCATTTGAAATTTGAAATTTCTATCACTTTATCAACTTCACGTATTTTCCTTTGGCATTCCCATGTGGTTTCACCTGAGCCTCTTCAGGGAAGGGATTTCAGCTTGAGAGGATGATTGTCAACAGAGTCAGCAGAATTATAGAAAATACTTCATTTGGAATTTTCTGTAAAGTTGACTATAAGTGAGCTATTTCCCTTTTTAAAAAGTTGGGAGAAATTCTGGATTCATTTTGTTCATTTTGACCCATATCCATTCCAAGTCACACCACACCACAGAGAGTATTTCACTGTAAAAGATCCACTAATCACCATCTTCCTGTGTTAGCTTTTCATTAAACCAACATCTGCTGATTGTCTACATAAAATGTTCATCACATATTCATTGAGTTTGTACTGTGTGTCAAACCCTGGGGATAAGAGCTTTGCAGAAGAATGAACAAAAGAAAGTCCCTACCCCATGGAGCTTACATTCTAGTGGGAGCAGATAGACAATGAAAAGTTAAATATATAATGCCCATATATAAGTACTGAGAGATAAAGTCCTGTAGGATAAGAAGAGAGGTGATAGAAGGGGGGTGGTCAGGAAAGACCTCTTTAAGGAGGTAGCATCTGAGTAGAATGTTGAGAGAGTGAGCTAGATGGATATCTTGGGGTCGAATATTTCAGGCAGACAGAACAAGTGCAAAGGCCCTGAGGTGTAGGGGTAGGCTGGAGGTGTCTGAAGAACAACAGGGAGACAAGCGTGGGTGGAATGTAGTGAGCCAGAAGGAAGGTGGTAACAATGACATCTCTGAGCCATGGGAAGAACCTTTTTTTTTTTTCCCCAAGAATTATGGAAAGCCCATTGAGGGTTTTGAGGAGCAATGGCATGACCTGGCTTCTATTTTAAAAGGTTTTTGGCTTGACCAACAGGGTAAATGGTAACACCATTTACTGAGCGAGAGAACAGAGGGACAACACCGAATTTAGAGGGAGAAAATCAAGCATTTTATTTTGCCGAAGTAGGATGAACAGGAGTGGGGTCAGGTGAGGTCAAGAATGGACAGAGAGATTTCGGAGTCATCAGCTTTAAGGTGGTTTTAAAACCATGGTACTCTGTGAGACAGGGATCTTGCCCCCAAGGGTTTGCAGGCTAGAAGGGAAGAGAAGATGTGTACAGAGAAAGTGGGAATGTGGAATGATGAGGAACACGTGGGAAAGTGAGTCATTCCGTTTGGTTAGAAGGTATGTTTAAAACGCACTGGTTTCCCTTTTAAAGGATAGGGAAGGATGCGAAGGACTATTTGACCTTGAGATCAGTTTATCCAATGATAGCAAGACTGTTGGAAAGAGAGTTAAATTTAACCCTGAAATTATTTGCCTCCCTGTTCTGCATCTTCATATGCTTTATCTAATTTATTGCCAAGATCTGTTGTTTTTCTTCACAAATCACTCTCAAATTTGCCCTGTTCTTTTCATTCTTCCTGCTGCCACCGGAAGCTCAGTCTTCACTTCCCTGGTATCTCTCACTCTAAAAGATTCTGTGTACCATTTAAAAATAATCATCCCGAATATTCTAAAGTATTTTTCAGTATTCTTTCCCATCATCCTCTTCTCCTCACTAAATTGTACAATGTATGGTCAATAGGGAAAAAATAATCCCCTCAAATGGCTAGTTGAAGAATGTGTATAGGTGACAAATTCAATCCTGCTGAGCTGGAAGCAGGGATGTTCTGACGCTTTTGACCTCATCTAACCCTTTTGACCCCATGTTCCAAGATTCAACACCCTCTTATAATTGGGGATATTATAAGACGAGCTTCGGATCCATCTAAAAGCCCAGGCATAATTTTTATGGCTAAGTATCAAATGTCCGTGTTCCTGCACAGTAATTGGAGGTGTCCCGGTGTAGGGGAGCCACTGCAGGGACTGATTCTGCATCAGGTCTGGGAAATCTGCTTCTGAATACTGTTAAACTCTTGTGTTTTCCTGGATACAACAAAAAACATAGAAGTTCCATGACAGACCTTTTATGTTTAGGTTTTATTTTTTAAATTCTGTATGAAAATTATCCATGAGTGTATTTCTTACCAACTATCTAGATGACATACGCCTAACGTAGTGATGTTTTTCCTTTCTACCAGGTTTTTGCTGAAGAGGGCTTGAAGCTTGCTTCAAGTGTGCAAGCTTTCTCAAAACAGGTAATGCACGTATCCTTGCCTGGTGCTGGTGGTGATGTCATAAATACCCACTTTGAGGCTATATTATTAAGGTATAAAGGTATTTAAGGTTTAAAAGATGGAATTTCATTGGAGTTGTTATAACTTCCTTATTTACATTTCAGCTGAAAGATGATGATAAGCTTATGCTTCTCCTGGAAATAAACAAGCTTGTTCCTCTGTGCCACCAGCTCCAGGCAGTAACTAAGACACCTTTGCAGAATCAAGTGTTTCTAAAGGTAAAAGGGAGGGTGGGACATTCAGGAAAGCGCTTGAGAAACTTTCACACTTCTTTTTTTATTAGGTTAGCTTCCAGCCCCTTTTTCTTCAAATAAAGTGTTCATACCCACAGAAGAACCATTTATTTCCATTTTTCCTGCCTTGACTGCAAGAACCATTTATCAGCTGCAGTTGTAACTGACCCCAGGAAGTAGTAGGTTCACCAAGTAAATTAGCTTTTTGGACATGATTAATACCATAACACGGAGCAGCTACCCTCAAATCCCAACATCACCACCTGACTAACTAGGGCGCAGACCCCTCAGAGTGAAGGGCTTCTGTTGTTTGTTTTAGGGAGTTTGAGTGCAAAAAAGTAGAGTGCAAAGAATTGCAAAGAAGGGGATTCACTGCCACTATTTGGTGCCCTTTGAGAAGCCCCTAAGCCGTCTGAAATAGAACAGGTTGATTTTCCATCCATTCTTCCTGGGGTCCATGAAATTGGCATGAGACTTGGGCAACAATCCCTGCTTCTGTGTTCTGGGACCTCAGGTCATCAAGTCAGCTCAGATGCCTTAATCTGTATACCCTTTGAGATCCCTTAGATTTCTATAATGAAGAAATTTTTACCATTTTCAAACTAAATGATAAAGTCTTTTGAAGGCCTCCTTATAAGAATTTGATTTGCTTGCTTTCTGTCACTATAGGTTGATAAGAGTATTACAAAGACAAGATGCATAATGGCTACTTTGGTCCAACTTCTCTCACTTTGCTATAAACTGCTGAAGAAGGTAAGATAATTTGTGTATCTTAAACGCACATTTAAAAAATTAGTCTAAAGGAAAATGCAAAAGAAAATAGATACTATTTAATTTTGCAATTATTTTAAGAGTAAAGTAAAGCAGAAACTAATTTTCTTAATTGTTTCCAGCTTCAAACGGAAAACAACAGACGAGTCTCAGTTAAAAATAAAGATTCTGTGGATGGTAAAACTTGAGAAGATTTTGAGGTCAGATCTCTGGAACACCATGTGGCAAAGCTAACATTTTTAGAAAGCAAATGATCCTTTATATTTCAGAAACTGAACAGTTTTGTAAAGAAAACAAACTGAAATCTTGCTTTATTTTCTGATCATGAAACCAATTGTGAAGCTTTCTGACAACTGTAAGTTAATGCCATGGTAGTTGCTATATTTCTAATTGCAGTGTGATTTTAGAATAGGATGTTGCCATGAATAATGTTCCTTAAAAGTCAAACCAAATATCCCTACTGTCTTAATGACAGTTTAATCCAAAGAAACTACTTTGAATATATGATCACTTTTGGCATATTTTACCCTAACTTCCTATTTTTTTAAATTTAAGCTTATCATCTGGGACACTAATTTGCAGCAGAAGAGACACAGTAATCTGGGTGATGCAGGGTTTTCCTTAAACCTGTGGACTCTTCTTCAATCCCTCTGTCCACTGAATATGACTGGGCCTCCGCTGTCCCCTCTGTCACAGATCATCCGTGCCAGGAGCACGTTTGTTCTCTAGTAAGGGTTTCACAGAGCACAGGAAATCTGTTGTGATGCATGTCCCTCTCCCACCCAAAAGCAGGGTCATGGAGCTTACTCCACGGAATCCTGGAGGAACTCACTAGCCGATGGTTTTAGTTCTCCTTCTAGCATAGCTGGCCTGTCTGCCCTGAATATTAGATGGAATCCTAAGCCTATCTTACTGGCTTAAAAAGTAGTTTTTGTACTTCTGAGTAGTGACTGATGGAACAGAAGGTAGAAGACAGAGAATAATTGAACTAAGCTGTTTAAAATAAATTATGAGTAAGCATACGTTTTATATATGTGTCTTTGGAATGTTCATTATAAAACAAATAAACAACTTTAGTGTTTTTAGTTTTACGGTTTAAAGCTTTTGTTTTTGTGAGGTGGGTTTTGATAGAAGGATCTGGTAATAAGTTCTGTCCTTATGGTGTAGTATAGTTAACTTTGTTTTTTTGTGCTTGTATCCCAGTGCTTTGAAATTTATTTTGAAATCTAACGGGACATGTCAGTGCCAAATGGCAGTAGCTCTGTAGGCTCCTCTGATGATCCGTATCTGGGTCAGCCATCAGTCAATGTTCACAAGATCCTGAAAACTACCAATTAGCTAGTCAAAATTTTATTGAAGGAAACTTGAATTTACTGTAGGCCTTGGAGAGAAAATGGGATGCACTCAGCTTGGTTATGACCTTTATAAAATATTTCTCTATAAAAATCATCAAACATGATTTTTATGCCCTGAAACCAAAATACTCTTTTAAATTACAATGGAAATAATGGGAAAATGATGTGAGGTAATGTTATATGTAAAATAGATATATAATTCTTTTACTATCTTTAGTATCTTTGTTTTATGACACCTTTGGGAACCCTTTGTGCTACCTGAAATGGGGATTTGCTGTTTTGTGCTTACACATTCACCTCATAGCACTATCAAGGTAGATGTTTGTAGCATTACTACCTGTATCACATCTGGTGGGTCTACTTAGGGGAGAGTCATGCTGGCACTTAAGTTAAAAGTTTCCTTGTAAGTCAAAAATAATTTTAAAAAATTTATTTACAAAAGAGTTTACACACCTGAAATGAGAATTCTCTTATTTAAATGCAAGTGGTGGTAGAAAGGGATAACATCACTTCAACAGCATAAGATGATAGAGAACCAAAAGAATTTACATGTCAATGATAATCGTTTTATTTAAAACCATATAGTTATATGTATGTATGTGTTGCAGCCCTTAAGGTAAAATAACAGTTTTAAAAGTACTTCTATTTGAAATTCAATGTAAACAAGTATACAATTTTAAACCATAAATTCATAGTTTTTCATTTATTGTTTAAATGATGTGAAAGCTTTTGTTCTGTTCAAAAGCATCTGTGTCTTCAAATTCCAGGAACCTCTCGGGAACTTCTTTGCTGGCTACCCTGTAACTAGAGTGTGAGACTGAGAGACCACAAATGCACATGTTACTTCATACAGCATTATATTATTGATACTTCCATGTTAGCAAAGCCCCTTTCAAAGCCTCTTCATGTGTCCCTCATTAAGAAACCAGTGTTACAGTGCTACATTGTTCAGAGTTGAAGGCCAACCCATAGACATAGAGAAGGTACACTCTACACCCTGCCACTTCCCAGTAACCTGAGCGGGGGAGTTGGGGCAGAAGGGGTGGGACCAGACGTTTTGGTCGTGTCACACTGAAGCAGATGGGATAAGAAAGGCCGGTTGTTGTTTTTCGACTTCAAAGTGATGGAAAATTGAGGCAAAAACAATAACCATGACATAATACTCAAACAGAATCACATCAAAACCTAGTATTTACTAACGGGTTACAGGATGATGGGTAAATTATTTTTACTTTTCTGCCTTTTCAAATTTTCCTCAAAGTGCTTTGTTGGTTTTTAATCAGAAAAACGTCTGTTGCTTGCCAGTTGTTAGAAAGAGAAAAGCAAAAGAACAGAGTGAGTACATGGGCAGGCAGATCTGGGAGGTTGAAGACAAAATGGAATCAAGGCTTGTTATGCAAGACAAAGAAGGAAACCTAGGTCAGGTTTTAAGATCAGGCCTCCCTGCGGATGGCCCGGTGTGAAGTATGCTTCAGCATCTCTGGTTCTTCCTTAGTGCACTGACTGGTAGGCCAGGTAAGGATATGAATGCCCTGATGTTTTTACTCAATCTTAATCCTCATGAGGTCGCTGTTGTGGCACGGATGCGTTTCACCACGACTTCTTCATACTGTTTTTGTGTCAGTAACCCTTCTGTTATGCTTTTACTTTCTTCAAACTTGGGCAACACAACTGCAATGTATCCTTCGGTGGATGGCTAGAAGGGAAATAGAATATTTAATACTGTCAAATGGTAAAAGATCAGATAAAACGTGTGTGGATGGGATCTTACTTCCCCAGACTCTTTTACCTTCTGTTGAAGAAGAGATGGCTTATGGAGAATGTTTTCATTCACTTCCATCAACCGTCCTCTAACACAGCTATTTAAAGAAGATATTGCTTTGAAGAAAAATATTATCTTCTTTGTTTCTCCAAAATTGTGGTTAAAAAGTAACTTACCTAGATATGGTGTATTCTTCTCCATCAGAGCAGTAAATCTTACACAGAGGTGCAAGCTCTGTTAGTTAGAAACTGTGCCCCCTGATAATAAAAGGGAAGAAAAAATTAATTGATGTACATTTTCACTTTTCTTTGTGAGGCAGCCCTCAGAGTTACAATAGGATATATTCCTGGAATTAGTGTTTTAAATAAAAATGACTTAAGTACAGAAAAACCATTCACTTATTCAAATATTTATATATTAAATGCCTCTATGGGCTAGGCACCATCCTAGGCTCTAGGGGAAAAAGCAGACTAAGACAAATGTGATAATAGGTAGTTTAGTTACATATTAAGAATATATTTTATCTTAACTTATTATACTTTATATTTAACTGTACATGAGAAAGCTGCACATAGCCAAGTGTAAAGATTTCAAAAGGGTAGGAAAATCTCATCAATAAGCAATAATACAAAATTCAACATTATAGAGAATGACAGCAATATTGCACAGTTACTTTCATTAAGATTCCTACCTTATTTTTATATCAGAAGTTAATAGAGAAAGGAACTTCTTTATTAGGTCCATCACTAAGACTTTCTGAAGAAAGGATATTTTTCTAATTTTAAAAAAAGCAATTTGAGGAAACTTTGGAAAACAGAAAAGTTTTAAGTAGCATATAGAGTCACTTACCCATTATCCTATAACCCGCTAGCAAATACTACGCTTTGACATATGTCTGTTTGAATGTTGTGGCACGGTTATACTTTCATGTACTCCACTGTATGGATATATCTGGGGAGGTTCTGACAAATATCTATCGAGTCGGCCACCAAGTTCATGCAGGTTTTTCCCTAACATGAAAAACCGGAGCGAACTTTTTGGCCAACCCAGTACAGGGAGGCTCATGGGAAATGGATGCAAGCATGTCTCATGTGTTGCTCTTTTTTCCCAGGAATTTTTACTGCAGTGAACATCTGAGGTCAAGATGCTGTTCTTTATGGCCTCTTTCCCACTCACAACATTATTAGACAGCATTCAGGTGTTACTGCATGAGCTTCACTCCTCTGCCTGTGGGTACTTCGTTTCAAAAGACTAGTCAGTGTGACTCCCCACTTTTGGGAGGAGGGGATGGGGATTTGTCCCAGATGGTTTGTCTTCCACTGGCTCTGTGTCAGAAAGAAGTGTTTTAACCCCTTTTGGTCACCTCCCTTGGGAGAATAAATGATGGGCAGTGCTGAGATGCAATCAAAGCTTATCTACAGTGGGTTCCATGTGCAGGTCCCTCTCTGTTACTCAGTAGTAACAACAGTGTTACTATTTTGGACAAAGATTGATCACAGGAACATCACAAGCACTAACTGTTTTACTTGTAATTTGTAGACTTTTAAGAATGGTCCATGCTCTTTAAAGTCCACTTGCTTCCTGAGTGAGGAAAAATCAGTAATTATAAGGCAGGTTATTAGGGGCCTTCAGGCCTACAAAGGGGAGTATAAACAAGGGTCTTCCAGAACAGTGAGGTAATTAGCAGAAACTCTTAGTATGAACTCAGTAAATGAAGGACCTAAATCATCCACTGAAACTTTCCTTTCCAGGGGGTTTGTCAGGATAGTTTAGTAATGGTATTGAGTTGTCCTTGGTGTGATACCCTCCTTTAACAGTAAAATGTTCATCTTGCCTAGAATTGTAGAGGGCACAGGTAACATTTTCTATAACTAAACACTATGTGGAGGTAGAGGGTGTAGCTAGATGTGTATTAAATCAGCAGTGATTTAGGAATGGCAACTGATACGAAGCAAATACTGTATATTTTCTCAGATCGATTTTTTTTTCACTACCTCAGGACTTTATGTTACTTTTAAGTTCACATGTGAAAATTTATGATAAAGAGGTATTGATCATCTAAATTTTATAGAATTTGCAATACTGGCTTAAAACAGGAAGGGACAAAATATCTTGTTATATTGGTATTAGTGTTGTTCTTTCAAAGGCCCACCTTCTCCATCCTTCATCCTGGGGATGACAGGGATGGTGGCCCAGAAGGTAATATGACAGATAATATACCTTCTGAAATACCTCATTTTTTTGGCCTGAGAATTTCTTTAGAGCTTAAGTATTCTTAAAAATCATCTCTAACTGCCAGGGAAGTATGCTGAGCATACATTACTGGGTTCTAAGACTGGCTGGCTCTATCATTATTATGACAATAGAGGATTTAAGTAGAGAAATACAGGAACATACCCGCTTAAATTTCCCAGAGACTTTGTTCTGAAGCCTGCTACAGTTGGTACTGATTTGATAGGAAATGCTTTTAATTACTTTTCCACTTTGAAGAACTGGATGGGATCCTGCCAGTGTGATGACACATATTCTACGAGGAGCAAAAATTGATCCTGTATTATTGCTTGGTATGATTCTTCCTCCTATAACACCGTATTCCTACTGGCACAAGAAGAGCTGAGCTGACATTTGTTTAGTCAGCCTATCATTTCCCCCCCATTTTCCTCTGGCTACTATTGGAGCTTACCTGAAGAGAAGAATGCAGTAATAAAAATGGGGAAAATGGGACTGAATTTCCTTTCCCAAAAGGGAAGCGTACCACAGGTGTTTAGACAGCACGGAGGAGGAAGAGAGAAAAGTAAGGCATGCCGGTATGGACAGGATACCACCTGTGCTTCTACCCTAGCCCTCTCCACGGGCTTGGCCACTTCAGTGGTTAGGCACAGGCTGGTTTCTTGAGGTAGTAGCCGACTGAGGGTGTGGCCCTCCATTTGGATGTTTGGGTAAGCAAGTTTATTTCTTTAGCGTAGGCACTGAAAGACTCATTCTTGTCAACCAGACTCCTACTATAAATAATACCATCTCAATACAGTGGAAGATAATCATTTAATGAATATTTATTCAATACAAGACCATACCAGGCTACAATGACAGAAAAAAAATTTTTTTGATCATTTAAAATTCCCAATTTGCTTACCGGTTAGAGTGTTGGAGTATACAGTGGTCCTCACAGGGTTTTCCTTTGACATCTAGAAAAAATGAATGAGTCTGATGGCTGTTGAGTCAATATTTACTATCACTGTGTAGTACTTTCTTTGGTTCATAGAGGTAGTTAACTATGAAGGCGGGACACATACATCACTGGTATCCCTTCATTACTCAAAAAGATATACCTAAAGGCTGACTATAAAGTATTTAAAGACATCTGGTCCAGATGGAATCATTCATTCAATGTTAAAATGATGATTAACTCTTTGCTCCACCTTTTTTTATCCTCACTTTAAAATGAGTACAATCATTTCTATTAGAAAAAAAGTGATTAGTAATGTATTCTTTATTTAATTTAGTAGCATGGTTTGTTGGTCAATTTTAGAGAGACTTAACTCACTCTGGTTCGCCCAGGACTGTCCTGATGTTAGCGGTGAAAGTAATGGATTCCCGAAAACACCTCAATCCAGGGTTAACCGGACAGTTGGTTACACTAAGTCTGGCTAATAAAATGTATGCTATTGTAAAATATTTCAGTATTGTAAAAGATGAGTACACCTATTATCCCTAAATGAATGGGAGCAAGTTGGGTTAGAGGAGGGTCCCCAACGATACTCTCATCACTGATATTTGCTGGGTACACAAAGCTGTACAACAGGATACCTACTTCTAAGTGGCAAATGTGTAATACCAGCGACTTCCTTTAAGTAAAACTGTTAGATTCTGCTTTCTAAATGCCTCTATTCTAACCCACCCTCTCCTCTCCATCCTATGCCTCTACCTTAGTTTAGACCGCTACCATTTAAATCATTTTATGTATCGCCTCTTCTTGGAGGACTGAGCCCCTCAAATCCCTTTAGGCACTCAAAGAGATTGCAATCCAGCTCCTGCCTCCCTCGGGGATCTCACCTTAGTCCACCATCTTCCCGCAAGCAACCCACCCTCGTGAACTCGCACTGCGCTCGCCCTACCCAGAATGCACCCTGCTGTTTTCCACGTCCTTGCAAATGCCATTCCCTTGGCCTGCAGAGGAACAGAGAGATCCAGTTCCTTCTGACGTGGGGAGGAAGCGCTGCGGAAGGTGCGTGTGGCTTATGATCTCTCATCATAGTCCCTATACTGCCAGACAAATTGGGCCCAGAAGAGACTGACATCATTCTCCACTTACCCGCTTTGTACCAGCGAGTGAAGTAGCGATCCACAAGCGACGGCACCGCGGGCTCCGCAGCGGAGGCGGCCACAGGGGTCTCGGGCTCGGTAGCCATGGAGACCTTGGGTTCTGCAAACCCCGCCCCCTGGGACCTGTACTCTTCCTCCCGCTTGCCACGGAGGAAGGTGTCTTTCCGGCGTGCAGCCGAGACACGCGACCTTGGGTGCTGCAAACCGCGCCCTCTGGGGCCTGGGCGCTTCCTCTCGCTCCCCTGGGAGGAAGGTGTCTTTCCAGCGGTGGCCCGGGGTACGTGTCACGTGAACGTCCCAGTCTCCCCACGCCCCTCAGGCTCCGCCCGCCGGCTCCTATTACTGAGCTCTGGGGTCTGACGTCAAAGCGGGGCTCAAATACAATAGGCTGGGCAGTAGGACGTATGGATAGGGGGCGGTCGCGAGCGCAGCTCCTCACTGTACTTTGCGGGGCAAAGAAGAAGGCACGCCACGCCCCCTCCGGCTCGTGACGTCACTCCGGCGCCGCTCGGAGCTTTTCCAACTTGCCTCGCTCCCGGATCGTCGTCGGGCTGGTCGCCCCTCCGCCCGGCTTCAGCCACTACTGAAAGGGCTCAAGCGGCCCTGCCACCCGGAGACACAGTGCGCGTCGCGAGAGCTCAGGAGCAGAGGACAGTGAGAGGTATGTTTATTTCTGTTTATTTCTGCTTCAAATATTCTTTGGAACTAGGGAGGGTATAAATTGCAATCAAATGTTAGTTTAGACAGACTGATTTCAATTTCCACACCTGAAAATGTTAACAGTTACGTACGCGCACCTTATTTTTATCATATGTTTTGAAAAGCTGAGGGTAAAGCAAATGTCTTTGAATGAACGGGAGGAGCTCCATAGCTAAGAAGATAGAGCAGATGCTTTTGAGTCAAGAGTGATCATCCTCGAAATTCACTTCAGTGTCTTAAAATCAAAATTGGTTGATAATTCACTCTTCTCGTGGTGTCTGCAGACACCTGAAGGAAACCCAGCTTGTCTGAAGGGTCATGCCTACTGGCAGTGCCCTGACACAGTTTTGATTGGCAGTGAGATGGAGTCGAAGCAGCAGGATGCCGGGTGTTGTGCTTCACCCCATCCCTGACCAGTACTGGAGCCTCAGGCTTCAGCAGTTATGACTCTTTCCTAAGGGCTGAGACGGGGACAAGGAAGAGTCACCTGGGGTGCTTGTTAAGCATTCAGCTTCTGGCTTCCTTGGAGGATCTGGTTCATCTGGGCTGGGATGGAACTCAGTTGTGTGTATGGTTAATAAGCTCCCCAGGTGATTCTTACTAAGGAGGCTGAGCAAACACTGGGCTGGATGGTCATTCATCAGGGGTAGTGTAAAATCCTTTTAAGCAGAACTCTGATTCCAACTGGTGCTTCTCATACCTCAGAATCTGCAGTGGTTCTCATTAAAGCTCACACTCCTGCATTCCCGTTCTCCAGATACTCTAATTATGCAGGTCTTAAAAAGGTCCCTTGTTGATTTTATGTGGGGACCATTGGTAGAAATGAAATCCATTATGCTTCCCAAGTCTCAAGCTTGTGTGTGTATGAATCTTATTCCTGTAGGACCGGAGTACTTCCCAGAATGCTTAATCTTAATAAAAGATAAAAACTTGTATAACGAAGCTCTGAAGTTATATCCACCAAACTCGCAGCAGTACAAGGTGTGTAGCATGTGAAATGAGGCTCTCCTGATTTTGCTTTGTGCTGTGGTTGGGAAAGGATGAGGCTCCTGAGTCCCTGACACTGTCCTTGGTTTCAAGGTTTATCTTCAAACTAATTAGCCTCATCTTGAACTTCTTATCTGGGAGAAAGGCCCTGACCTGTTCCTCTTCTGAAGAACTTGCCCAGGCAAGAAACCTAGGCGTTGTCTCTGGATCCTCCTCGGGAATACCATGGCAGTTTCCATCCTGCCCCTCCTCCAGCCCTAACTCAGCATCATCCTGAATAGTGCTGATCTCTCCCATATATTTCTGCATAAAGTTTGGTTCGCTTGTTTGAACAAACATCTGTTTGGCTTTTCTCATATGCAGTACTTTGCTTATCAGCTACATGTATTATAATTCTTACAACAACCTGCTAGGTGGTGTGCACAATTTGCAAATGAGGAACCACCTTGCCTCAGGACCTGGGATGTGAGGTGGCCGACCTGGGATATGGAGCCCGTGCCATCATCACCACCATTTTCAGTTTGTCCACAAATTGCGCACGTCTTTCTGTGATCTGGCCCATGCCTGCTGCTTTAGCATCAGCTGCCTCTGCCAGCCCTCTACCTCCACTTCCTTTAGCCCCCCTGTCCTTCTAAACTCTCGGGTCTCCTCTGCCAGAAAGCCGTTCCTGGCTGAGGTGCCAAACACTGAGCTCCCAGAGCACCTTGTTCTAACCTTGGGGATGGCATTTATCAATCTGTTATTTACTGATTTGTTGTCCCACCAGGCTGTGGGTTTCCTTAAGGGCAGGGACCCCGTGTTACGTCCCTCTGTTTCCCTGTCTCATACTGAGCCTAGGGAATAGAGAATTTGGCCAAAGCCTGCTTCTTTGCTCTCATTTGCCTTATCTGTTCGTCTGCTGTGCTCTCTGTGCTTCAGTCATACCAGCCTTTTTGTTATTCTTTCCCGTGCGTTCCATACCCATTCCTGCCCTATGGCCATGGTGCTTTCTGTGCTCTTGGCGTGGAGTACTGTCCCATAACTCTTCACATGGCTTCTTCTCACAGCCCTCTGAAATAGCACTCCCATCGCTCTGGCCCTTTACCACTACCTGCCATTATGCTGTCGACCATAGTGTGTTTATAAGTCCGTACCCTTTCACCACAAGAGCAGGAAGTTGGGAGTGGTTCTTGTTACTGTTTATTTTTTCTGTTTGTTTGTTTTTGCTCTGTTTAGCTTTATGTTTTGCTTTGCTGTGTTACTCCCACTGCCCTGAATAGTACTCAGTAATTATTTGTTGGATGAATACATGGCACATCCTCAGTAAGGTATTGAATGGAAGAAAGATTGAATTCACTGGTCATCCACAGGGTTTTTCTAAGTCATTCCAGGGACTTTCAAGTATAATGACCGAGGCAGCCTACCTTGAAGATTTAAAAAAACAGTTATCACCTCTCCTTACCAACCCTTTGTCTCTTCCTGTCCCAGGACATCAGCATTGCTTACGGGGAACACCTGCTGCAGGAGCACCTCTGTGAGCCAGCAGGGCTCGTGTTTGCCCGCGCTGGTGCCCACGAGAAAGCTCTCAGTGCCTTTCTGGCTTGTGGCAGTTGGCAGCAAGCTCTCTGTGTGGCAGCCCAGCTTCACTTGACCAAAGACCAGCTGGCTGGCCTGGGCAGAACTCTGGCAGGTAAACACGCCATTAGGTTCTCCCAGATAACTTCTCTAATGGCTTTGTGTCTCTGTGGTTTTGTTTGGCAGTTTTGCAGACGTGTGTCAGGTGGGAGCACACCTTGGTGCACTGTCATGTGCATGGGTAAAGGTTAATTTGGAGTGGCTTATTAGGTAGAGTAAAAGTTGAAGTGCTACGAGAGTTCCCCAAATACAATGGCACAATAAAGCAGTTTACTTGTCTCTCTCATGGCACTGACAAGTCCTCCCATGGTGTGGATCTGCCATCTCTTAGGCAGAGAGTTGAAGGTGGATTTTCTCCACATCTGTATTCCAGTCCTCGGGAAGGGGAAAAGCTGGAATTGTGAGAGAACACTCAAAGTTGGAAATGATCTAGCTAACACTTTTTTCTACCTCATTCACCAAACTCACATTTTACAGGTACACCTGGTACAGTGTAGCTCGGTAGCAGTGTGCCCTGCGAGAATGTAAAGATGAATTTCCAGGTGGGACTGTTCAAATATAGACAATAGATCATTGGAAACCATAATAGCAATCTTGAGAAATGAAGCCAAATGTATAAGCAGTGTGAAAGCAAAGGCAGTTTAGCTGTATCAGGATCTAGGGATTGCCTGAACCGGAGGTGAGGTTATTCCACAGTCTGATTTCTTAGAGTGGAGTGACATTCCCAGAGTGCCTGGGAGAAGTGACGGGTGGGGCTCTGGCCCTCTCAGCCGTGCGTGAAGTGAGTGGCTGGTATATTTTCCCCCCACCTTTTCAAGAGTCTTGTAAATATTGTTATGATCTCCCCATAAAAAGCAGTCCTGAAAAAAAATCCAAACTATATCCTGTTAAATGTACATACATATTCTCTTTAGTAATTTCATAGTTTTTTTTCCTTTGGGATTTTAAAAATGTGTGAGATTATCACTTTTCTGTCTCTGGCATTTTCTGGTTATTAGATCTGTGGACTCTTCTATAAGCCCTTTCAATTTCCAAGCTGAACTCTTTTCTACAAGTACCAAGAAGTCCTTATTTGAGTCTTATTAACTCTTCATTCTGGCTCCGTTGATACTTCTGCTCTAGAAACTTGTTATTTGTAGTTTAAATTTCCTAGTTCTGTTCTTGGTGTCTGTTATCTTCTCTTACATCCTTTTCAACTCTTAGCTTGCTGTGTGTCATGCCTTATAATGGAGTGCACCTAGTTCTCCCAGATGCTTAGTAGAAAAAGGTGAAGACAGTGCTCCAAAGATTTTTGAGAAATGTTACAGGGTGGAGTCACTTCATGTGTGCATTTCACTTAGTTTACACAAGTCACCAAAAGGAAGAAAAGATAGCTATTGAAACAGTGGAGATGACTCTTCCTGGTTTTGTCAGTGATAATATGCCCTGGAGTTAGCATGAAATGGGAGATGTGACTCTGCCAGCCCCTTAGTTAACTCTGGGTTCTGTGTGCCTCTCATAGTGTAATTATCTCAACTGGGCTGAGAATGAGTCTCAGATCTGATGATACTGCAAGACCCCTGACATAAGCCAACTACCCCCATCTAGTGCTCAAACGAAGAAACAGCAGCCTCTTCCTATTAGAGGAAAAAATGGATTAGTGCGAGATGCTAGGTCAGTTTCCCATATGTGTGCCTTTGTAAGCATTTTTCATGACTGATTTTGACTATATGTGATTTTCACATCCCATGCTAAATTTTGATTGTAACTGCCATTTAAGATAGGACCCCATGGTATTCCTTCCTGT